GCGAACGTTTGAATTTCATTTCCTGTTTGCCCAGGATGGAGAGCACAGGTAACCACGCAGAGCTCATCAGCACAGGTAACCGTGATGGAGTCCCAGGATCGCAAAAGAGCTCCAGCATGGGCCGAACGGGAGGTATGGGATCTGCTCGCCATATGGGGAGATGAATCAGTGCTAGCTGAACTCCGTAGCAGTAAACGAAATGGCAAAATATTAGAAAAGGTTTCCAAGGCCATGAAGGACAGAGGCCATAACAGGGACACACAGCAGTGCCGCGTGAAAATTAAGGAGCTAAGGCAAGCTTACCACAAAGCCAGAGAAGCAAATGGAAGGTCCGGGGCAGAGCCGCAAACTTGCCGCTTCTACGCGGAGCTGCATGCCATGCTAGGGGGTGCAGCCACCACTACCCCAACTGTGTGCTATGACTCTCTCACTGGAGAAACACACAGGGAAGCGGGGTATGAGGAAGGTGAGGATGGAGATAATGTAGATAGCTCACAGCAATCGATATTGCCATTTTGAATTAGGGTTAGTGTGGACAGAATTCGACAGTATTGGCCTCCGGGAGCTATCCCAGAGTGCTTCATTGTGACTGCTCTGGACAGCAGTCTCAACTCAGATGCACTGACCAGGTAGACACGAAAAGCCCCGCGAACTTTTGAATTTCATTTCCTGTTTGCCCTGCATGGAGAGTCAGGTAAATATGGTAACCCTACACTAGCTGGGGAGGGCTCTGAGTTACTACAGAGAATTCTTTCCCAGGCATCTGTCTGGTGGGTCTCGCCCACATTCTCAGGGTCTCACTGGTCACCAGCTTTGGGGTCAGGAAGGAATTTTCCCCCAGCTCAGCTTGGCAGAGACCCTGGGGAGGTTTCATCTTCCTCTGCAGCCTGGGGCACGGGTCACTTGCAGGTTTGAACTAGTGTAAATGGTGGATTCTCTGTCACTTGACGTTTTTAAACCACGATGTGAGGACGTCAGTGACTCAGCCAGAGGTTTGGGGTCTGTTACAGGAGTGGGTGGGTGAGGTTCTCTGGCCTGTGATGTGCAGGAGATCAGACTGGATGATCGTGATGGGCCCTTCCGGCCTTCAGGTCTACAAGTCTATAGGGCTGTGTGTGCGTCTGGTGGGTGGGCAGGAGGGACACAAGCGTACAGGCCAGAGATCAGCAGATGAATCCCGCACTGCTGGGGTGGCGACGACATAGGTGAATTTTGAGAGAATTTTGAGAGTCTAGGCGTTATTCTCCCCCTCCATAACGAACGGGTCTAAGAACAACCCCATGACACCTGCATCTGCCAAACTGAACAGGCAGTTGGAGGCTCCCTGCTTCAGGGCATTGTGGGAGAACCGTTAGAAAACAGTAGGGAGTTCTGGTTGACTCGAGCAGCTGCTGTGGGGTAGATACAACGTGTCTCACAACCGATTACTCTAGCCAGGCAAGGACAAATTCGAGAGCTGGATAAGGAAAGAGGGAGGGGCGAGAACACAATAGGTTGTGCACTGAAACCAAAACCCCCATCAAAGAAACTCCACGCTCCCCAGCACGCCCTGTTCTGTTCTCCTCCGGGGCCGGGATGGGAGAGGGAACGAATTCCGTGTCACTGACAGGTGCTCATTTCATGCACCAATGAGGAGAGGAGAAGAACCGAATTTATATGGTAACATCTGGAGATTTGTTGGGAACACAGCCCCTTTGCCCTGGGAGTTTTATAGATAGAGTTAAGTCCCTTCCCCAAGGAGCTTGTAGTCTGAATAGACACAAAACAGACCAGGAGCTGGGGCCGTGGCTAGAACATGCAAGTGAAAATAGTGAAGAATGGAATAGCCTTTTAGTGATGTGGTTGGTTGTGATTGGCTGAAGTCTCATACGTGTCTGTTACTTACCTAGCTAAGTTTAATGCAGCTGCTGTCTGATCTGTTTTTACCCCTAACAGTTTTAGTTTCATTCTACTTCTAGGATACGAAAGTTCCCCAGTTAATTCTGTGTGACAGGCCCGGCTCTGTGTTTAATCACAATCCGGGGGCTGGGGGCATAAATTTAGGGCTACACACGCCCCTCAATGCACAGCGAGGTTCCCGCTAGTGTCAGTGGCAGTCTGCAAGGAGATGAAGGGGAAAATCTGTTCTTGATGAAATAGCTTAATTCTGAGTTATAATTTCTGTGGGTGCCTGTTCCGCCTCACTCACTTGTGTGTGGGGAGCCAGGCAGTTTATCCCCCCACCGCCCATGGAAACGTGATTAGAATTTTTCTCCCCCCATGTCGACAAGGCTTTAATCACAAGGTCACCCTCTGACTCCAATAAGGCCTCAAGGGCATCAGCTGCTACCCTGGATACAAGGAGGCTCTGTTCCCCCTCGTTAGCTCAGCGGTGCGGGAAGAAGGGCTATTGGGTGCTGGGCTCTTTGGAAAATCCAAACCCCAGGGGTGGGTTCACTTTCTTTGCAGCTGCAGCCCATTGCTTACTCACTCAATTTGTAACCCACTCGCACCCCCAGCTCCTTTTCAGCAGTACAACCCCCGAGCCAGGTAGTCCCCAGTTTGTAGTTGTGCGTTTGATTTTTCCTTCCCGTGTGCAGTATTTTGTGCTTGTCTTTACTGAATTTCATCTTGTTGAATTCAGACCAATTCTCCCATTTGTCAAGGTCGTTTTGAATACACATCCAGCCTCCAAAGTACTTGTGATCCTCCCAGCGTGGTGTCAGCTGAAAATTTTACAAGCACCTGAGACAGGACCGTGGTGGATGCCACTAGATCCATGTAGACGTTCCTGCCCTGAAGCTCGGTGAGAAGGGTGGGTCTCCGAGTCCGTGTAATTTTTAGCGCCATAGCACAAGCCCGAGTCTCTAGTCCCGGGCTCTGAGACTCGCTGCCGTGGGTGTTGTTTTGCAGTGTTGACGTACCCTGGGTCATTACTCAGCGCCTGGAACCCGCCCACTTTGCAGTGATGATGCAGGCGAAATCATCTTGGAACTGTTAGCGATTATCTTCAAGATCTCATGGAAGGTGGGTGAGGTCCCATAGGGATGGAGAAGGGCAAACATAGGACCTACCTTTAATAAGGGGAAGAAAGAGGACCCAGGGAATTAGAGACCAGTCAGTCTAACTTCGATCCCTGGAAAGGGATTAGAACAAATGATTAAACAATCCGTGTGTAAGCCACTAGCCTAGAGGATAACCGGGTAATAAGTAAGAGTCAACATGGATTCGTCAAGAAAAAAAATCCTACTAAACCAACCTAATTTCCTGCTTTTAACAGGGTCACTGACCTAGTGGAGAAGCAGGAGACGTGATATATCTTGATTTTATTACAGCCTTTGACCTAGTCCCACGTGACATTCTCACAAGCAAACTGAGGAATGTGGTCTAGATGAAATTACTATAAGGTGGGTGCAAAACTGGTGGAAAGTCTGTGCTCAGAGTGGTTATCAGTGGTTCGCTGTCCAGCTGAGAGGATGTATCTAGTAGGGTTTAGCAGGGGTCAGTTGTAGGTCAGGTGCTATTCATCATTTTCATTAATTACCTGGATAATGGAGTGGAGCGAATGCTTATAAAATGGGAGGCTGATCCCAAGCTGGGAGGGGTTGCAAGCACTTTGGAGGACAAGATTGGAATTCAAAATGACCTTGATCAATTGGAGAATTGGTCTGAAATCAGCAAGATGAAATTCAATAAGGACAAGTGCAAAGTGTTACACATAAGAAGGAAAAAAATTAAATTAACAATTACAAACCGGGGAATAACTGGCCAGGTGGTCGTAGTGGGGAAAAGGATCTGGGGGTTCTAGTGGATCAAAAACTTGAATGTGAGACAACAATGTGATGCAGTTTCAAAAAAGACTTGAATATCATTCTGGGATCCACGAATACGAGTGCCGTGTGGAAGACCGAGGAGGTCATTGTCCAGCTCGGTTCGGTGCTGGTGAGACCTCATCTGGGGCACTGTGCCCAATTCTGGACATTAAGAAAGAGGTAGAAAATTTGGAAGAGTTCAGAGGAGAGCAACACAAGTGATAAAAGGTTTAGAAAACCCGACTTTTGGGAAAGGATGAAAGAATTGGATGTGTGTAGTCTTGAGAAGAGAAGGCTGAGTGGGGACCTGATAACAGCCTGCAAATATGTTAAGGGCTGTTATCAAGAGGACTGTGATCAATTGTTCTCCAGGGCCACTGATGGTAGGACGAGAGGTAAGGGGCTGAATCTGCAGCAAGGGAGATTCAGGTGCAATATTAGGAAAAAATAGAACTCTCAGAGGAGTGAAGCTCTGGACCAGGCTTCCAGGGGAGGTTGTGGAACCCCCGTCACTGGAGGTGTTTAAGACCAGGTTGGACAAACACCTGTCAGGGACGGTCTAGGTTTACTTGGTCGTGCTCAGCGCAGGGGGCTGGACTTGATGACCTGTGAGGTCCCTTCCCGCCCGACATTTTTCAGATCCTATGTTTGATGAACTGGTTCTTTGAGGTGTTCAGGGGCAATTTGCCTCCTTGGACTTTTACTTTTAAGCATTGTCAATCCGAAATATTTGTTGGCTGAAAATGGGGTCAGCCCCGGCTCTGGCTGCCGTTCCACCCTGGCTCAGTAAATGCACAGCACGTAACAATGGCTCCAAAGCTAAAAGCCTCCAAGGCCCATCGACGCGAGAGACTCAAGTTCAATTAAAGGTCTCGCTCCACCAATCTCACCTGAAAACGTCTGGGAGAAAGGAAACTAGGTCCATGAAGTGAGAGTGAGGTGAAAGTTCCAGCATTTAGGAACTGTGATTGTAACCAAGGCCAACTCAGCCACACCTTCCTCATTAAACCAGCACAAACTAGTGACAGAGGATGTGGAAAAAGCTAATGTACTCAACCCTTTTTTTTGCCTCTGTCTTCACAAACAAGGTCAGCTCCCAGACTGCTGCACTGGGCAGCACGGCATGGGGAGAAGGTGACCAGCCCTCCGTGGAGAAAGAAGTGGTTTGGGACTATTTAGAAAAACTGGACGAGCACAAGTCCATGGGGCCGGATGCGCTGCATCCAAGGATGCTAAAGGAGTTGGCGGATGTGATTGCAAAGCCATGGGCCATTATCTTTGAAAACTCATGGCGATCGGGGGAGGTCCCGGATGACTGGAAAAAGGCTAATGTAGTGCCCATCTTTAAAAAAGGGAAGAAGGAGGATCCAGGGAACAACAGGCCAGTCAGCCTCACCTCAGTCCCTGGAAAAATCATGGAGCAGGTCCTCAAGGAATCAATTCTGAAGCACTTAGAGGAGAGGAAATTGATCAGGAACAGTCAGCATGGATTCACCAAGGGCAAGTCATGCCTGACTAACCTAATTGCCTTCTATGATGAGATAACTCACTCTGTGGATGAGGGGAAAGCAGTGGATGTGTTCTTCCTTGACTTTAGCAAAGCTTTTGATACGGTCTCCCACAGTATTCTTGCCAGCAAGTTAAAGAAGCATGGGCTGGATGAATGGACTAGAACGTGGATAGAAAGCTGGCTAGATCGTCGGGCTTAACGGGTAGTGATCAACGACTCCATGTCTAGTTGGCAGCCGGTTTCAAGTAGAGTGCACTAAGGGTCGGTCCTGGGGCCGGTTTTGTTCAATATATTCATTAATGATCTGGAGGATGGCGTGGACTGCACCCTCAGCAAGTTTGCAGATGACACTAAAGTGGGAGGAGTGGTAGATACGCTGGAGGGTAGGGATAGGATACAGAAGGACCTAGACAAATTAGAGGATTGGGCCAAAAGAAACCTGATGAGGTTCAACAAGGACAAGTGCAGAGTCCTGCACTTAGGACGGAAGAATCCCATGCACTGTTACAGACTAGGGACCGAGTGGCTAGGCAGCAGTTCCGCAGAAAAGGACCTAGGGGTCACAGTGGATGAGAAGCTGGATATGAGTCAACAGTGTGCCCTTGTTGAAGGTTAATGGCATTTTGGGCTGTATAAGTAGGGGCGTTGCCAGCAGATCGAGGGACGTGATCCTTCCCCTCTATTTGACATTGCTGAGGCCTCAACTGACCCCTGGAATACAGTAATACTGGAATACTGTGTCCAGTTTTGGGCCCCACACTACAAGAAGGATGTGGAAAAATTGGAAAGAGTCCAGCGGAGGGCAACAAAAATGATTAGGGGGCTGGAGCACATGACTTATGAGGAGAGGCTGAGAGAACTGGGATTGTTTAGTCTGCAGAAGAGAAGAATGAGGGGGGATTTGATAGCTGCTTTCAACTACCTGAAAGGGGGTTCCAAAGAGGATGGATCTAGACTGTTCTCAGTGGTATCAGATGACAGAACAAGGAGTAATGGTCTCAAGTTGCAGTGGGGGAGGTTTAGGTTGGATATTAGGAAAAACGTTTTCACTAGGAGGGTGGTGAAGCACTGGAATGCGTTACCTAGGGAGGTGGTGGAATCTCCTTCCTTAGAGGTTTTTAAGGCCCGGCTTGACAAAGCCCTGGCTGGGATGATTTAGTTGGGGATTGGTCCTGCTTTGAGCAGGGGGTTGGACTAGATGACCTCCTGAGGTCCCTTCCAACCCTGATATTCTATGAAGACTTTCAGTTGCCTCTCACTCATGAACAGCTGTTGTTACTTTACTGGTTGTATTATTACTGTGGGGTCTAGAGGCCCTAACTGAGACCAGAAGCCCACTGTTCTGGGCACAGAACAGACACACTCAGAGGCAGGGAGTTTGCAAGTGAAATGCACTAGAAAGAAAGGGGCAGATGGGGAAACTGAGGCACAGAGGGGGGACTTGCCCAAGGTCACCTGCAAAGCAGTGGCAGAGCTGCAAACAGAATTGAGCTCTCCTGAGTCCCAGTGTAGTATCCTGGCTACTAGACCATCCTGTCCCGCAGGAGTCCATGGGTGCTGAAGTAGATAGAAAGAGGAAGGGGGCATCCTGTCTGCACCAGCCAGAAAGGAGGGGAGCTGCGAAGGAGGCTGCTCAACCCAAGTCAAGGAGAGGAGGATGGGCCTTGCCTCTGCTTTTAGCTCCCCTCTCCTTTAACCCCTGGTGTTCTGACAAGTAGAAGGGACAACGGGAGATGTGTGGGGAGGCAGTCAGCACAGGGATCAGAGCCCAAGCAGTGGGGCTGCAAGGCCTAAAGCCACCGGTGGGTCTCTCTTATTCAGGTCTGCTCTGGGGATGTTAGTGGAAGTTAGAGCAGCCCCAGGGTTACTCTAATTTGCAGCAGCCTTGCAGAGTCATGCTCACTCCTAGCCCTAGCTGCACCCCCAGCAGGCCTCTATGCTGGGGGCTGTGTAGGATGGGGGCACAGGGCTTCTGAGCAAGCCCAGTGGCATAAGGGGCTTGAAGAGGGTGGGGAGAGAATCCACTGCACTGTCATGGCTCCTCGTCCTTCTGGAGGGGTGGTTTAGCCTTCCCCAAACTCACGTCTGACTCTCACAATCAAACACCTTCCGCAGGGCTTGTCTACATGGGAAAATGGACTGGAATAGCTCCCATGGGCTGAGCTGTTCCGGAATAGCTCCCCTTGTTCCAGAAGTGGATGAGGCTGAACCAGAACAAGGTGATCTTATTTCAGAATGAGAGCGCCAGCCCTGGGAGTTATTCCAGAATAGCTCTGGCCCTTTAATGTCTCTCCCTGTCTTACTCCGGAATCACTTCTTCACGTAGCCCAGGCCTCAGACGGGAGCCCAGCAACTGCTGTCACCTGGGTAACGCTGCTCTGGGGATCACAGGCCTTTTCCTGTTTGCTGCCTGCAGAGAAAGCCGGGCTAAATAAGCACTGTGGCTGGAGAGGCCATGCTGGGCAGCCTCAGGGAAGTGTGTGACAGAAGACCTGGGTTCTAATCCCGGTTCTGCCACTAAACTGTGGTGTGACTCTGAGCAAGTCCCTTCTCTGCACTGTTTTCCCTCCCGCCCTTTGTCTGGTTAGATTGTGAACTCTTTGGGTCAGAGACTGTCTGCACAATGGGGTCCTGATCTTGCTAGGGTAGTGACTGTCACTGTGTGTCTGGGCAGTGCCCAGCACAATGGGGCTCCAGTCTTGGTTGGTGCCCCGTGCCACTTCTGCAAGTGAAGTAGCTAATAATATTAACCATAGGTGCGTTGGCACCAAGTACATGGGAGATTCTCAGGAGCTACGGTTGTTAGCCAAATGGGCTCGTTTCCCCCTGGAGCTGCCCAATTACCCGAAGGAGGCACGGGAGTCTAGAAGACGGCTTCAAGTTCTTTATTGATCAGTCAGCTGCGCGGGTGTCCAACTCGACTCAACCTGGATGGAGGAACACCCCTTACACTCACA